CTTGATGGTTTCCTGAGAGTATGACCATCCAATCAACTTCCATTTCTTCCTGCCTATTTGTTGCACATTCGGTTCCTGCTGGGTTGGTTCGCTCACTGTCAGAGATCACTGTTTCTGATCTTTTCCGACCAGCTATCTGATTTTCAGTATTGAGTGAAGACAGTTGTTGATGAAGGTCTGTAGTTTGTTTGAGGTGCTCTTTATGACGCGCTGGCCAAGTCTTTGATCCGTATAGTAGCACTGACTTCACATTGGAGTTGAAAATCTGGATCTTATTTTTGATTCTGAGTGATGTTGACTTCCACACAGACTTGAGAGTAGTGAAAGCTTGTCTTGCTTTTCCGATCCTGGCTTTGATATCCTCTTCAGTTCAGCCTGTAGTTGAAACGATGCTTCCCAGGTTGGTAGGTAAAAGAGGTTGTTTCTTTCAGGTTCCTCCTATTTATGCTGGCTGATTGTTGTCTGTTGTTGTTGTTGTTGCTGCTGGTGTTGGCCAGGAATCTTCATCACCCCTATTTTCTCTGTGTTTACCTGAAGTCCTTCCTGTCTTTGATGCTTGTTGTGCCAACTTGTTGCTTTTCACTTACATATCTTTTAGTTTGTGGGAAATCAGACATGTATCATCGGCGAAGTCCAGATCCTCCGAGTTCTTTGTGTGAGTCCATTTTATGCCTGTTTCCTCATTCCCCGCCCCTGTCTGTCGCATTATCCAGTCTACTGCAATCAGGAAGATCATTGGCGATACTAGGCAGCCAGCCTGCCTTGCCTCACTCCCGTCCTCACTTCGAAGGCTTCTGTAAGTTTCCTGTTGTCGATTACTTGGCATGCAGCACTGTCGTATAACTGTTGGATGAGATGGATAATTGTCGATGGCACCCCGTAGTAGCGAAGTAGTTTCCAAATCACCTCTCGATCGACGCTGTCGACGCTCGACTGGCAATAGCTAATGTCATCAGTGGCAAGTATATGACTTCACTTCCGATAGGGTGGACCTCACTGATCACAAAATTCCCCTATAACCCGCGTAATTGCCTACCTGAATAGGGCCATTCGCCAATTAGCATCGAACTGATATTGAAGTGTTGGTTTGCAGAGATTCGATTGATTCCTGGATCTCATTATGAGCTGACATTGATTTGAGAAACATTGGAAACCCAACTGGGAGTACTGCACTATTAAATCATCTTCAGAGGCTGTACGATCGTATTTATGTCCCAATGTCCTGCTTCATGAAACTTTTGATTTCATAAGCGATTAGATCACAAGCAACGGCATAAACTTACCTATTCCCTTAACTTAAATCAGGGACATCATTTTAATGTGTACAGAAAATATAAGATTCACCTTCCAAGAAAAGCTATACAAACAAATCGATGGTGTTGCGATGGGGAGTCCTCTTGGGCCCCTTTTAACAGATATATTCATGTTGAAATTGGAAAAATAAATGCAAGGTATGCTTGGAGAATTTATGCTATGTACATGTTATGTAGATGATACTCTCATTATTGGTGATAATAGTAAATCTATTGAAAACTTTATTACCCTATTTAATCATATTCATCCAAATATCCGAGTGACTTCCAAACTCGAATCGAATAACAAACTCGGTTTCACTGGATATTACAACGACCAGGAGAAACGATGGAAAGACTCAGCTATATATTTTTCGTAAACAGACATGGATGGAGTGGACAATATCTTCATTTTACCAGTTTTGTTCCTATCCAGTATAAACGTTCCCTAGTGTGAAATTTTTGTTCTCGAAGGCCCACACAATATGTACAAGCGATACATTGATGGATGAGTTTTGACATATACATTCAGTTTTATTAGCTAATGGTTATCCGGAAAACTGTATCAATTGTCACAGTAAAGAAAGACCACATTTTGAAAAGACAGCTTCTGTACCAAAGAAAGCTACCTTTATTAACCTACCCCATTCAAGGTTAATCAAATTATGCAGTCGATAGCTCAATGACTTTGGTCAGCCATCAAGTGCACATTCTATGCCTCATCTAATTCCCTCACATGCCGAACATTTTCGATCCCTGTACTTATGATTAAAGGACGAAATTCTATGAACTCGACTTCAAACTGTATTTGCAAGCTCACCTGCATTTGCGATGACATACATATATAGGTAGAATCAACAGAATGTTCCAATGTGGTGGTCAAAAAGAGCATGTTCCAAAATGGATATTAAATCATATCGAAAATCCTAACGCGATTAATCTGAATGGAAATCCATCATCATCATCCATTGCAAAACACTTATTAATGTTAGGTCACAAAATCAATATTAATTAATGACTGTTTCACAATTATTTCACATAACTCTAATTCAAGGTTGCTTACTGAAGGTGATGGAAGCACTTTGGATTAATCACATGCAGCCTAAAGTGTCTGTACAAAAATCAATAAACTTCAATCTTCGCCTACCATGGACTACGTGACCTATCTTAATATGATTGGTCATTAGTATGTAATTTTGTTTTTTATTTAGCTGAGTAATTGTCATGATCATTATTTTATTATTGTTAAACATGTTAGTTGTAAAGCGGTTGTAAAGAAACTACGAAATGACGATATCATCTCGCCGAAATTTGTCTTCCTAATGCCTTATTCGTATTTATGTTTACCAAAAATGCATAGTGGTCGATTATTTTTACTTTTGAAGCCACTTTTGAGTGATTTAATCAGTTATATCACCCCCTGTTAGTCAGTGATGAATTAATACACATTTTTTAGTAAATATAAATATGACTGAATAACCTCTGAAGATGATTTCGTCGTTATAGAAAATTTCCTGCGCTGAATGTGTCTTACTTTTGAAGACTATTTATCTATCACTCATCAATAAAGATATTGCCCACTGTCTTGAGCAGTCCGTCTTCAACCGGGAGGTTTCTGGTTCGAATCTCATTCTGCCTGTTTCAGTAGGACCATCCAACCTTGGACACATGCACACATAATAAGAGTGACTTATATTCCGGTATACATGAAAGACAGGTTCCAGATAACTGAATTGAAAATACTCAGATGAATTGCTTGTACCACACCATCCTAGTTTGGAATTCTTCAGAAGTGCACTTTCACGATCCCAAGATCTTCACTTTACTAGGCCAGCTAATCTATGAATTCTCACTTCTATCAATTTGCACAATATAATTCCATTGTGGTGAGAGCAGGCCGTGAGAAAATATGAGCAAGGCTGATTCAACAACCAATCACAGCAAAGTTAACGTGGCAAAATATGATTCGCAGATAGAGAACTCTATTTGTCGAGGAATCCCGAAACAACCAATCAGAAGCCTGCGTTTGTCTGTAATAATGTATGTGAAATATGTATAAATACGTGTTGATTTTCATAATAAAACGATCTGTTGCCTGGCCCTTGTCTTCTGTTGTTACACCATCACTAAAGAGTCCTTGACTGGGACGAAACAGCTGTATATTACTCTTTAGTTTCAGAAAATTGTCTCTTACTGGTGTATAGTACTGCCACTAACCAGTACTGATCACTTCACCCCAATATGGTGAGACCCACAGGTTTAAAACCTTTCATTGGAACTTGCGAATATCCCTCTTGAAACTAGTCGCTAATCATCTGTTTATCCAGATTTTGGAATTGTGGAGATTTCATTAGAAGCTGACATCAGTTAGATAATCTCTGAAGACGCCAACAGTTGACAGCCCCTCGCCTCCCCAACCCCACCCCACCCCGTATCTGCCCGACATCCAGCTCAGGACCTAAATATTTAACACATCTCCCTTCCCTCCCATCCTACCAACTGGTCAGATAAGACAAAAAACAAACGTGTAGTTTATTTTAAATTCTAATAGAAAATAGACAGATTACTCAACCTGTTTGAATACAACTCAGTTTAGTTTTTTTTTAAAAATTGAACATAAGATTTGATTGGTAGATAGATAGGTAGACAGGTAGACAGATAGATAGATAGACATAAATTTAAAAAATATGCGTGTATGTAAGTTCAGGTGTGTCTTTGTCTGTGTGTATGCGCGTCTGTCTATCTATCTATCTATCTATTTATTCAATTCTGTGTAAGTATTGACTATCAAGTGTAATGTTATTATCGATCAGGTAGGTATCAAATGAAAAACCGAGTAAAATCATTGACGTGCTAAATAAAAAAAAAACTGTGATCGGGCTTTTTCAACTCAAGTTCACTTGAAGCAACAAAAATATATTGGTTCATCCTAATCACAGGATTGGCTGAATCGATCGCGAAGACAGACAATGCAACCTGACATGATCTACCTAAGCCAATATGTATATATATATATATATATATATATATATATATATCGAGAGAAGACTGTCTCTCCTGTCGACTACTTCTGAGGTACAACAAAGACAAAATAGCTGTGAAATAGACAACAGGAAAATCAGAAGGCAGGCAGGTAGGCAGAATACACGAAGAGATAATAATTTCTGATTACATGTATACATACATAGAGACAGACAAACAGCGAAGAAGAAGAAGAAAGGTGGAGGTGGAGAACAGCTGGCCAGTAAATACAATAACAGGTAAAATACAGAGGGTGGGGGGGGTGGGCAGACAGAAATAAAAAGAGAGAAAAAGTTGAATCTCACCAACAAATAGGCATAAATATGTATATATGCAAATAAATTATCATTATTATTGTCGTGTGACGTCATAAATACACTGATATTGTATGTATATATATATGTGTGTGTGTAAATATATATTTATCACAAAACGAAAACCCCAAAAAGTAATTCCAAGGAAACAAAATACAAACACCTAAATTTACAAGAAAAGCAAGTGCGATAACCTGGTGAAAAAACCATTTTGGTTAACACATCATCTCTTTCTCCAAAAGTGGGGAGGGGTGCGTCTGTGTGTGTGTGTGTGTGTGGAGGCGGCAGAGAGACTGTTTGTTTCTTCCACTCAAGAAACAAAATTCACAAGTGTGTAGCAAGCTGACACGCTGACACACAATGGTAAAATCTCTCACTGAGATGACGTGGAGTCTGTGATTAAATTCTGTTCCTCTGACTCTTTGTATGCATGATGTTGATGACCGTTTGTCGATGATGTTGTCACGGTGGATAAATCACCTGGATGAAGAATATTTAAATCTTTTTTATGCTTTTTTTTCAACTTTTTTCCCGGTGACATCTTTGCATCACCTTGTCCTGGAGGCGTTGAATTCATTGCCTTGTGAGCAACATCATTTGTTTGTTCAGGTTTTGTTTCACCAACTAGTAAAGATTCAGTTTGTTCACGTTTATAGGTCTCTTCAGCACCGCCTTTTGTAAGCATTGCTTTACGTAGTTGAGTTTTACGTCGTCTAAAGAAGCCTAATAAATATAGTAGGATAATCAGCAGATAGAGAACAATTAAACCTAAGACAACACCGACTATAATTGGCCATATTGGAATTTGATGAATTAATTTTGGACGAATTTGTGGAAAGAAAAATGTTTGTGATAGATAGAAATGACCAACTGGTTCTTCAGCTGGATGTACACCCTCTGGGATTTCACCTTGATTCACTGAGATTGTTGTGACAAGCTGTGAAGAAATATTAAAAAAGATAGACAATATATATATGTGTTGATAGGTGACTGACATAAATTATCAACCAATAATAATCAGCGGCCTTGAACTCAAACGATCAATTTCATTTATTTTCAATTAGTGACTACCCACCCACACATGTCAGTGGATGAAGGCCATAGTTGGCCCTAATAACAGCACTCTGAAATCTACCAATCAGAGGACATGTAATTTGCTTACATATGCGTGGGCGTTACACCGGTAATTTATCTATTCTAGGTGACTTATCCGATTAGTAGATTTTAGCCAGCTGGTAAAGTCGTCTCTATCTACCTCACTGACACCCACCCAACTGCATTCTGACCTTGTGCTTTTTATTCTCAGTTTTCAGTTGAGTAGCCTATTGCATTCAGCAGCAAATTCAATTCCCGGTGTCATTATGTGGTGAGAGCTGTCTGCTAGCCAAAATTGTAGACAACAACTTACGTCAATATTTACGTCCCGAATCGGGGTAGTAGGAAAACAAAGCAATAACAATGCTTAACCTTGAGAAACTCATCAACCAATCACAGTGGACTTAACGTGTGCAAATATGATTCGCAGATATATGGCTCAACTTTCTAAGAAACGGCCATAAACAGATGACGGAATAACTTTGAGCAAGAGAACAACCAACCTGAAGACGTTACTGCTTCTCCGCTGACAGTGATGTAATTAAAAAATTTATAAATACCTCTTAATTTTCTGAATGAACGATCTGTTGCCTGGTGCTTGTCTTCTGTCGTTACAATTATACCTAGTCAGGAATTTAGTGACGTGTTACCGGTCATATTGATCCAAGGCTTCCCGCGCTTTTAGATTATCTTAAAAACCATTTACATGATTAGTTGATTGAGTGATAAAAGTTGGCCACGTGATCTTCTCACACTCTCCCCTTCCCACTTATGTGCTTTTCAACAACAGGGAAAACGTAAAGCCTGCAGCCTTATGTTCCATTCATCACCCCGAAGAATGACAAAAAATGGAATCAGTACAAGTAAATACAAAATCGGTGATTATTATTCGCAACCTCATATATGACGTTGATTCCTGTTGCCTACGTATTTGAATGTCTGTGTGTCTGTGTATTTATTTGAGTGTGTCTGTACACACACGCTCACGCCTGCATGTGTGTGTGTGTGCGCGTGGGCGTATGTATTCACGTAATTGAGTGGGTGTATGTCTATCTGTTAATTTGTGCTAATGACAAGCTTTTCCATAAAATGCCACTTAATTTTATTTAAATGTCGAAATGCCAAGGAAAAAAGTAGCGGATAACGAACATTACGATCATGATGAAATGCGTAAAACTGTAAATGATCCCTAGTAGATACGTATATGTATATAGATATCGTTTGGATCTTGACACATTTTTCATGCAACCATAGTGATGGAAAAGATATTTAAATAATACTGAATCAAGTTATTTGTAAAAAGAAATGTAAACTATGCATTAGGGTATATACTACTAATTGATTGATATGAGTAGTTGGATGTCATGAATGTGCTACTGACAAGATTTATCAGTAGTATATAGCAGATGCATACAAATTGATAGGAAGTAGACAAAACTAAAAATGACATTTTCAGTTAATCTCTCCTCCAATTTGGATTTAGTCTACGTTGTGGTTAGGAAATAATCTCATTGGATAACTTTTCGTTTCATGATTTAACCTTGGGTGAATCGTCAACCAATCGGAGCAGGTTATTATTTGCTGACCTAGCCAGCCTCAGATGTGGCTAAAAATGTATAAATATGGTGTCTGTTTTGTTAATAAAGAGTTACCGTTACCAAGGCCCTTGTCTTGACAGTGATGGAGATGAAATTTCACCTCAGGGTGTGTTAGTTGCAAATATTAAATTTGATCTAAGGTGTTAACAATTCATCCAAGTAGTTAATCGGAATCAAGGGGGTTTGAAGTGACTATGACCCAGGATTGTCTGCCGGAAGCATTGGTGTGTGTGATTCTTGTGGACAGCAGGGCTGTTGATCTCACCTCGTTGGAAAATGTTCTCCTCGATTCTAACTACTTATTTTGTGCTTAGATACCTACATTGCCTGTATAGCTAGCTGACTTCCTCATGGCGCTGTTGACGTTAAATTTGAGTCTTGATGTTATTATTCTTTGATAGAGCGGCTAAAATATTGGAGAATAATCATTTTATCCCTGCGTTTGGAACATTTCGTGATAGCGTATGTCTCAACAAAGTTTTGTCAGCTATGGAGTAGAACGCAGCCATTGATTTCTTGCGTTCAAACCTTAACTTAAAAAATATGGTCGTTACAATCTGAAATGAGTCAGACTGCGTGCACGGCTGATGAACTCAGCTTCAAAGGAGAGATACGGTTGTTCGGTGTTTTTTAAAGTTTACTTCGATCCAGCGGGTCAGCGAGTATTACCGTAACGGTAGAAGAAATGCTTAGTAAAGAAATGTTAATTTGCAATTTGGTATCGCTATATAGCAAAATTATGTACACCTTATCTAGATATGATGGAGAAGATGTGTAGCTCAGGTGGATGATTTTGATGTGGTTGTGTTCTCTGAGCTGGATAGTAAATTCGCGAAGCTTTCATCGCCCTACTAGAAGAAATTTTCAGCGCATACTTCAATTTGTTGGAGTGAGCTTTTAGATTTCTCTACGAGTTTATTAATCATCTCTCCTGGTGGTGGTGATCTTGGACGTGATTGATTGTTTTTGTGTGTTTTCACACCTTATCTTCAATACACCATTCGCACAGATCTTCTGTGTTGTGCCTGCTACTTCTGGCCTTCCTTCGTATTGTGTTTCTTTGTGTCCCTTTCATGCTGTCTCCCATGTGTCTCCACAAGGCTGCATCATTTGCTTTCTGTAACATTAAATCTATCTACCTGCTATTTGATGTTTTTATGTCGATGAACGTCTCTTTATGTAGATACTACTGATAAATTTTATCAGTAGCACAAGACACATTACTGCTTGATTTGAGTGATTACTCACTACTGACTGATATCAGTCATTCAGTAGTATAAAGTATGATGCATTGGTGCCTGGTTTCGTAAAGTGGTATTCGTGGTATCATAAGCAGATTACATATTGTGCTCAGTCTGATTAGGTTTAGTGTCCAAAGTAAACTGTGGTAGTGGCGAGATGTCACCACTAATTGTGAATTCGACTCAGCAACTAATACACTACAGCTAATCAATTAACAAAAGAATCTGAAGGTTAAAACAAAGAACGCGAACAAAGTACTGATTTCTAGCAAACTAATTAACTTCATCCTTATCAAGGCCTCTTCAGTCGTAGGCGCACATACTCAACCCCTCTGCATGATGGATGGAATTGAGAACGCTTAGATTTCCAGATGATGATCATTGGATAATATCGAGTGCTGAATGCCTTACTGTGTGCCTTGCTCCTAGTAAAGCCCAAAACATAGGCGCCTCTGAGTGTTTCTGTCAAAATATTACTCATCGGCTTTCTATTATTCCCTGAGTTTTGAGTGATAAAATATACTTTGGAATATATATTATCCCAATAATAAATTGGTCGAAGTTGGAATTCATGGACCATTGAATTGAGTCCCGGCGTTGTCTGTGTGTGTATGTGCTATATAGATGCAAACTGATGGGAAAGCACCCACCCCCACCCGAAAATAGAGATTAACAGTCTAAGGCCATGACTGTAGACAGAGGTAGAAGTATTTATCCCTCAAATCAGGATTGATTTCATTATTTTGCGGTCAGGAAATATTCTCATCGGATAACTTCTCATCCCATTGTTTAACCTTGAGCTAGTCTCAGGCCAATCAAATCGGTCTGTTGTCTACTAATGTGATTTAAAAAATTCATAAATATGATGCGTTTTTTCCTTCATAGATATAGTCCGTCCCCAGTTCTCTTATCTTCTGCCTTGTAACCGAAAAGTTAATGGGTTCAGACTCCGCTGGCGGTGGGTACGTACTGTTGAATAGTCTCAAAGTAACATGAAATGGTAGTCTAGTCTGTCTGTCTGTTTTCGACATAGAATTTTGCACATATATGCGGCAGTTCAAGTCTCCTCGCTCCCTCCATGTACCACACAAAGCAAGATAAGAAAGTAGAATAAATGCATAATAGAGACAGTAAACAGAGGTGTGAGACAAAGGAAGAGTAATAATGAAGAACACAACAGTTTCATTGTAAATCATAAGTCACAAGGAGTGGATGCATCTGTGCCAGCCGGCCATTGAGAACGATTTCGAGCCAGCCATATCACCAATTGTTTCCAGCCTTCATTGGTTTTTACTGTCCCGAGGATTCCAACCAGGAAGTCTGCACTTTCCTACTTGGCTTAAACTAACTATTGTGGATTTCATTGACTGGTGCCATGTTTTCTTTTGACCGCCGCTAGCTCTTTTCCAGCCTGACCTTATGTCAGCTAATATTGCCCGTTGTCGAGGAAGGCGATGGCTAGGTGGGCATACATAACACATGTCTTAACCATCTCAGTCGATGTAATTTTACAACCTCGTCGATTGATTTCCCCTCCCACCTACCTAGCACTCAACTGAGGCGTAACCTCAATATTGCTCACCTTATTATACCACTTCACACGGGAGATAGAACGCAGGCACCTATGGTAGTCCGTTACTACCTAGTTAGTCTTGAATGGTTGTCTAATTGACTTAAGCTCGTAGATCAAACCTGTAAACAATTAAATCCCTCCAATTCGTCATCTGAGAACAACAGTAATAATAATAATCATACCTCTAATCATGTTTGACAAATAAATACGTCATACCCATAGAAGGTTGTCATTATGACATGAATAAACAAATGGAGACATTTTATTGACAGTTGCATTTCACTAATCATATTTTTTTTATTTATTATTTTCTAGTTGACAAATGTGACAGATAGGACAGGTTGACTTGTCATCTATCATTGTCTCTGTCTCCCTCTACCCCTCAACCCTATCTGCTATCTCTACTTCTTCACGCCTACGTGTCATACCT